TTTTTTAGCACCCACCTTCCCCACTTTCATCTAAAATGACCATTGCATTAGATTCTATTCAGATCTTATGATGCATAATGGCATCGTTTAGGGTTCTCTTTGTGGCATAGCTCCTTTAGGGAAGGCACTACTATTTCTCCATTTGCTTTCTACATTAACTTATGCAGCTTTTAGTATCTATGCATCTTGAAATAAGATAAGTAACATCTGGCTTGTCCATGTCTTAGAGGAGCTCATGGCTGTCCAATATAGTAGTCACTATATTTAAACTGATTAAAATTAAATAAATTTAAAAATTCACTCCTCATAGTAGGCATATTTCAAATGTTCAACAGCCATATGTGGTTAGCAGCTCTTGTATTGGARTGTAGATATAGGACATTTTCATGTTGCATGGTCTAGAGAAGAATACTACTACATGATTAAAAATAAATGTGATAATTATTTTACTCATTTTGGTATTTAATCGAATATGAGCTTGTGATTTTATTTAATATTTCTCTAATTAAAAGGCAGACTCTTCAAGGCTAGAGGACATTTTCTTCATATGTCCCACTGTAGCGCTTGTATTGGAGTGTAGATATAGGACATTTTCATGTTGCATGGTCTAGAGAAGAATACTACTACACAATTAAAAATAAATGTGATAATTATTTTATTCATTTTGGTATTTAATCGAATATGAGCTTGTGATTTTATTTAATATTTCTCTAATTAAAAGGCAGACTCTTCAAGGCTAGAGGACCACATTTTCTTCATATGTCCCACTGTTCTTTACTACAGTATTAACTCACTGAGAATATTCAGTGAATATAAAATGGAATTTTTTCATTTACCATGGGAAAAATGTCATAGATGGGTTCTCCTGACTACTGGCTTAGAACCTTATATTCCATTAGGACCCAGGACTGTAGGGGATACCATGAATTTAACCCTAACTAGCAATCATAAGATCCAGATACCTTTCTTCAGTGCCTAGGTGTGGTATAAAGTATAAGACAGGTATTCTCTTGCTTGGCTATACATGACAACAACATAGAGAGCTTTAACAAAGTACTAAGGCCTGCTCTTAAATTCTGATTTAATTGGTCTCTGGGGTGTGGCCTGTGCAAAGATTTTTTTAAGTCAGATGATCTAACATGAAGCCAAAGTTGAGATCCACTAGAAGAGTTACACCCTCARCCCTCACCTTCAGTTCTGCTCATTTAATAGCTTCAAGTCAGTGTTAGCAGTACAGTTTATCTTCTATACTGCTCAGTATTGTTTTCTTTCCCTTATAGTTTCTGACCTCAGTGATCTTTATGGTCCTTCTGACGCTGATGATTGTCACACTGGATCCTCCTCAGAAATTACCAGATTTATTCTCTGTATTGGTGTGTTTTGTATCCTGTTTGAACTTCCTGTTCTTCTTGGTATACTTCAACATTATAATCATATGGGATTCCAAAAATGGAAGAAATCGGAAGAAAATCAACTAGCTGTATTCCCAAACAAATGTGAACTTTTTGTAATGTATAAATGAAATTGTTATTTTGAGAATCATGGAATAGAAAAAGAAATGATGAAAAGTCATTGTTTCTCCACAACATAAATGTATTTTGGGACCAAAGACCAATGGAGGCTTTTATTTTCTAAATATTGTTGGGCCAAAGCATATTGTAGTTTTTATTAATATTCAGTTATTTAATTAGTTAAAAAAGTCCTTAGTCCCAAGATTTACTTAGAAAACGTACTCTATAGATGATGTCTTGAAAAAAAATCTGCAAATAGCTTAATGGGAGAATCAAACCCCTAATTTTGACATTCAGATTTGTTTTTTTTTGCATTTTAGCATGCAAGTAATATGTATTTCATTGTTATCTCAGGGAATTTATTTTAAGATCTTCTTTTTAATTGCTGAGGCCAATTAAACTGCTTGATGTCTTGATGTCAAATTTACAAATTTGAAGTTGTTTTTAATAAGGTAAATAGATTAAATGGTGTTCTTATTAATTTCCAAGAATGTAGATTTACTTGAATCCATTTAAAAAATGATTTTTCCTGAATTTAAATCCCAATTATTCTGAAGTTTCTTAAGCTACTCATGAACACTAGTTCTAATGTTTTCTAGCATCATTCTATTTAAAGTTAAACACCTGGTTCAAGGTTACTTACCACTGGCATAAGCATTGATTCAAATCATACTTCCTGTTAATTTTATCCCTCTATTATCAGAATCTCTATTTACTATAGTATTCAATTGGTAAAAGTATTATATCCATGTTGTATTTTCTCATATAAATATGTTCTCTTCAGTCTCTATGATAAAAATAAAGCAAGCTTACCATTAACCTTTTTTTTAAAACTGAGTATATTTCTTTCATAAGGTAGCCATTGAAGCATATTCAGAAGTATTTTTAAATAGTCATACCAAAAAGAATTTGGTTCTGGGTACAAGCTAGTCATAGGATGATGTAAGAAGGTATGTATTGCTAAGTCTGATAAAGAAAGTGGGTTTAGACAAAGCAAAAATCGAGAAGTATTTCTTTCTCAGAGTAAATGTGCATAAAGACACAAGAGGGCAGGTCAGCACAGAAAAGCAGCCTTGAGTCGCTGCCGATTCAGCAGGAACATCACTGTCCATGGTCACCATCTGTAATCACTGTGCCCAAATGTCAGCATCTTGGCTGGCTGGTATTGCCTTTTTTTAAAAAAAATTTTATAATAGTGTGTTTGCATTTAACATAGGATGTTGATTTATATTAGTGATGAGAAAATTCTGAGTTCTAAATAATTGGAGTATAGAAACTTATTTGAAATAAAAGTRTTATTATAAATAATATACCCGTAACACTTGTATTCAGGGTGTCTTATAGTGGTAAATTCTATAAATAATAATACATTTTTTAGATGATTTAATCTAAATCATCATCGAATTACATTATAGCTTCTAAGGAGACTTACCGCAATTATAAGTCCAGTATCTCTCATATTAAAAACTAATATTTTGACTTWAAAAAAATTAGGTTCTAAAATACCAAGTATATCCAGTGATGAATTAATAAGATTACATAAGTCAATGAAATAAAATGCATTCTGTCATGTATAACTAACTAGAAAAAAATTTTAAATGTTAATATAAAAATCACAGAAGTGGGCTATTCCAAAGCATTTCAGCTAGATTAAGGATTATAGGAATGTTCTAATATATTTAGACAAGTCAAAATTTTAGAAAAATTTCTCAYCTTTTTCACTATGTATCTATCAAAAGATGAGCACTTCTCTGTTATTTCCAAGTACATTTTAGACGGAAGAAGCATTTCTAAGTACAGTTTCCCCCATTGCCAATAGACCTAGGTTTGCTTCTGAAAGCAAGGAAGAGAATAGGGAGGAATAGGGAGAAATGTTATGTATCACATATGAAGCAAACAGAAGTCATTTTTCCCTTGAGGCTTTAGGGAGGGGGAAAAAATCCCAATGTAGCATTCTGTCCAAATGATAAAACACAAATAAGTGAGTGAAACATTTACAAAAGTCAAGGCAGCCAAAGTAGCCTCTCTGTTCAATAGATAAGACTAAGAGATGGATAGGTTGTAACTAAATAACGGTTAGAGTAACACAATGGTTTCAAGTCTCAATTGGTCTCTCTTCTGTTATTTTCATTGGAAGATCAGGGCCAAGTATATCCCCCTTTCCCCTCCCCCCATATAAACATTAGTTTTGTGTGTGGATTTTTCTGCTTTGTCCTTCATGCAGCCTCTAAGGGTGATAAAGCGAGAGTCATCTGATCTACAATGAAGAGAACTGGGAAATGATTCTTAGCAGCCCAGCTGTTCTGAAAGGCAAAAGCTTAGTATATCAAGAGGTCAAACATACAGTAACTGGTTTAAGAGCATTAAGCACATACCTACATAACTTGGATTATATATGAAACCAATCTACTTCTTAACCCTTTGTTTCCTAACTAATGTAGGTTACTTTACAAAATGTTTTGACTTATATCCTGAGGTTTTGTTTATTTTAAAGTATTCTTAATATTTAGCAGACGATTATCTTAAGACATTTAAATAGTACCAAGAAAATCACTAATGAAGACAATTAGGTTTAATAGTTAACTGGATTACTATTTAGCGCCTATATTTATATTAATAGTTTAAAAAAAAAAGACATGAATCTGAATTTAAGCGGAAAATGGGTTATTTTCCACCTTGTTAAATGGTTTTAAAAATACTATGGTATTTTTATTTTCATGACATCAAATGATACACAAATTCTGAGAATAACATTTGCCCCCTCTAGAAATGGTCAAGAAAAGTATAGACTTTTTAAAAAAATGTATGTTATCAAGCTATGATATATTCAGGGATGGGAAGTGTAGCTCAGTAGTAGAGTGTTTGCCCAGCATATGTCAGGCCCAGGGAGCCATCTCTAATAACACACACATGCATACACAAAGACATATTTTGTGATTTTTCTAAGTGCTTGCAGGATATAAAAGATGATTATGTCATCATTATGAATTAATTTCCAAATCAACGTATTTCTCATGCATCAATTAAATGATTTTAATATCCATTTGCCATGTAATTTAGTACCTAGTTTAGATACTGATTCATTTTGTGAGCAACAATACAAATAAATGGTAATAAAAACAATACAGAATAAAGAATTTAAATAATTTGGAAAGGATTACATACTGTCTCATAATAAAGGTCTTTTTAATTTATTGGAGGCTGTTTAATTGAGCTAAAAACCAACTTCATATTTAAGTGTATGTACTAAAAAATACATTATAATATTTTACAAAATGTATGGAATTTAAAACTTTGAAAATACAAGCATAGAAAAAACAAGCGTATTATAATAATAAAAACTCATCCCTGAGGTAGTGGTTACACAATAAGCTTCTAAATGAGAGAGAGAGATTTTTTATTACTTATTTCTTTATTTGTATGTGATGCTGAGGATGGAACCCAGGCCGCACGCATGCCAGGCGAGCGTGCTATCACTTGAGCCACATCTCCAGTCCCTAAATAAGTTTTTAAACATCTAAAAAAACCTATAAATTAATAAGTACCTGAGGCTTTAAGTGGGAAAAGTGGTCCCCAGTTCAACTCGCCATTAGATTTAATCTGAGTTCCAGGAAAATATATAGCTCTAGCAGATGTATAGCCATTTTCAAACATACTTTAGTAACTATCCACAAATGCTAACAGTACACAAAAACATCCATGATACACAATGTAAATCAAGATCCTCCTCTACATGCTGGCTTACATTAAAGGGTCAAGAAAAAATGTAATATTTACATTAAGATTATCTATTGGTGTGTGTAGAAAGTTTAAATTAGCTGCAAGAAATTTTATCTAGACTTGCACCTGCCTAGTGCTATGAGCTGGTATTTACTGGGCAGATTAATTACAAATATTTCTTCTGTTCCTTTAAATATGATCAGGCAGATGCAGTTGTACTCATAGTGAGAGCATTTCTTCTAAATGCCTGCAAGATATAAAAGGTGATTATTACATCTTCAAGAGTTTCTAAATGAACATAATCTCATGCATCACTTAAGAAATAATTTAAACACTCATATATTATGTAATTCAATACTTCGTTTAGATACTGGTAACTTCTCCTATGTTTATTTTTGAGACATCTAAGCAAGATTCATCTTCATAAATACTTTTGTGACTACTATGACACAGGCCTTTTCAGTTTATGTGAAGATACTTACATGAGATACTTTCAGGAGAATTTTAAAACTCCACATGACCTACTGAAAACACCAAATTTACATGCCTTTGACTATAAGCCTTAAGGGACTATCAGCAGGTGTTTCCCCCAACAGCTGCCAAAGCAGGGGAAAGTGTTTACTGTAATACATTCCTATTCAGAGTGTGTCCCTCTGGGGACTCCTAGTGGTGGTAGAGGTTCTTGTCTTATTTGGCCTTGGGAGAAGAAAGCGCCATTGGCAAATGATGGCATATACTCCCATTAGGCATGTGGCTCTTTTTTTTCTTTGCTTACGTTAGCATCTATGAAGAAGTACTACACAGTGGGCCCTTACATTTCCCTATTCGCTAAAGTCCACATATATTCTATTCCCTGTCTTATGGGATGCCAACTTGACAACTTATTTTTGCCAAATCTTTGTTTCATAGTCTGGTCTGCATTTCAGTAGAAGATTTTAAGCACTCTAGGGTTCACTTAAAATCTTTATAGAATACTGATACAATTGTTAGAGCTAATGATAATACTATATGGCAAAGGGAGGCCATCATTTATTAGTTACTATGCTAGAGGTATTAAGCTAATTATTTTGTACACTTTCACAAGGCAAATATTAGTCCCATTTTATAATCAACACTTAGAGGAACGAACTGCATCATTCAGGTCACAGAGCTAAGTATGTAGTAGAATTGGTGTTGGACACCTAATCAAATCTTGGTTTTCTTTAAAAACAACAAAAACAGAGCCAGACCCTGCAAAGATGTTTCATCAATGGATCATGGCTGCTGGAAGAACTGTTAAGATTTTAAGGATAAATCTAGGATCCAGCAAAATGAAATACTTTGATCAATGTGACATATGTCATAGCACATTAAGGAGTGGTAGCATTCATCCTTCAGAGCAACTACGTTAACATTATTCTTTCTAAAATGTTTCTGATCATTACTTTCATCATAATCTTTACTGGCTCACCTCTGTCAAAATAAATAAAACCCAAACATATTAGCTTGGTGACCGTACCGGTCAATGATGGGTCTGAATCTACCTTTACATCATCATGCTTCTCTGCCCTTTTTGTTYACGTTGTTATCACTACATTCTCTCAGTCCAATGGGCTTTTGTACTTCCTATTATCACGTGGTAAGGACACCATCTCATTCTATCACACCTACTAACAATCATGCATTTAAGGCAGGTCTATGTTCTTCATGGCCTTAGAGGCATGTGGACTTGTGGCCTATTTCAAGATTGAGCTTTCCTCTCAGTTTCTTCGAGCACACAGAATTTAAGGTTTTTAGATTAAGTATGGGAGAGGAGATTCCATTTCTGCTTTAAGGCATAATCCACTTCAGCTACCTCAAGCTTCTGTCAGAGGTCTTTCCATGTTGGAGGTTTATCAATTCCTCCACTAATTAGGTTGATACTTTCATCCTTATGGGACTCACAATCTTTATCTGTACTTGCTATTGGCCAGACCTCTTAGAAAGAAGAGTCTAGACTTAAAATTCTCTCTCTGTGACTTCCCAACGGCTACCAGATTATATAACCTCTGAACATAGTTTACGCTCTTAAACCTATGGAATGATGCATAACTGCTAGAAAGGTAGAAGAACATTTTTGAAGGGTAAGTGATGAAATCAGTACGGTAGCTAAGATTATAGGGTTATAGCTCAGTAGGGGAGGTCATAAATAGATTTGGAAATCTTTATTTTCACTAAGATGAATGACTTGAGATCATGAACAAAGTTCCCGAAGTAAGAAGGAAACAGTCAAAAGAAGAAACCAAGGAAATGCCTTGAAGATAAAATCTTTGTATTTAACTGTCATTTTTCTCTTTGACTTCTCAAAGGGGAGTTGCCTGGTAGTTCAAACTTATTTCTTTCTAATTTCTTTAAAGTATTACTCAAGCTGGGCACAGTGGTGCACATCTATAATCCCAGTGGCTTGGGAGGCTGAGGCAGGAGGATTGCGAATTCAAAGCCAGCCTCAGCAACGGGGAGGTGTTTAGCAACTCAGTGAGACCCTGTCTCTAAGTAAAATACAAAATAGGGCTGGGGATGTGGCTCAGTGGTTGAGTGCCCCTGAGTTCAATCCCTGCTTACTCAAATCAAAGATTTTTAAACAAGTAATAAAAATAAAAAACCTACCTCTAAAATATGATGACCTCTATTAGCATCCCTGAACACAAAGTTATAAACAGTAYTCCAGTTTCCCATAGTTTATTAATGAGACTATCATATAAATGAGTATGTTCATTTGCTAAATATTTGGCTGTGAATATGTGTTAATGAATACCATCTAACATAATAGTTCTCTGTTGGAATTTTCATGGGTCAGAAATATTAATTAATAAAAATATTTAACATKATGATGAATAAATTATATGTGTGTTTGAGTGTATTATTCTTAACAGAATACAAAATCCTTGACTAGTAGTGAAACCTGACATTTGTAGATTATTACTAAGTAGTGGTTAAGTGGAACCAGATAACTCAGTTTACTGACCTGGCTTTCTGTCTTTGGTGCTTCTGGGAGAAAATACTTAACTTCTTTGTGCTTCAGTTTCCTCACCTATAAATAAAGATAATAACTGTATCTACCTCGAAAGTTATTGTGAAGATTAAAAAGATATGTATACAGTGCTTATAATAGTGCTTGGCACAAAAAAATATACTCAATAAATGTTAGCCATTATTATAAACAATTATTTATTGTATTAACAACATTTTGATAAATAAAAGTGACATAATTTTCTATGTAAGATGGCTTGCAATTATTTTAAAAACAACTTGTTTGTTAGGCTAAAATTAATCGCTTGAGATATTTCCAAAGAAATGAATTTTCTTAGGGAAAAAAATAAGAAAGAATTATATTCTAAGAAATAGCAGGCAACATCTGGTTAGCTTCTAAAAATCTTTTAATATTGATGCCAGTGGGATAATACCAATTCCTAATGAGAACCTTGAGTTAACAGGTACACTAAATGCTAATGTCAYATCATGACTTATATTGCTTCTAGCTTATTACTTACAATAAGATATGATAAACTATCATATGTATTGCTGAATCAATAGGAATTGTATGAAGAAAAGATACAATTAGTATAAAATTATTTACTTAATTGGAAATTATTAGCACATTTCCAAATTTAATAGGCTGGCTATATATTCTTCAGTCAGATGTGTCCTATGAAAACTACAATCTATTTGTCAATATCTATTTAGATATTTATACCAAAGGTGCTCAATTAAGGATCCTCTTATAGTTAAAAATGTGCCCTCTTTTATATTGTGCTTTTTCAATCAGCATTTAACTCACAGATCTTGTCWGACTGCTCTTCTGTTGTTTATAAGAATAAATTTCAACTAAAGCTCCAAAGCTCATGTATCTTTTCATATAGAAAGACAGTATCATATCTGATAATGCAAATAAAATGTTTCCACTTGAACAACACAGGAAAAATCCAACAAAGTTAAGCTGAATTAGAAAAGTAAAGTAGTACCTCTTTTTAAAATGGCTTTAAGGAATTCGTAGCTGTTAAGATGACATAATTCTATATGAAAGAAGAAAGATTTTTTCAGAAAACAGTTCAAAGTAACTTGTAACTCTATATTATGCAGAATAAATATTGAATCAAAATTAAAATTAAAAATAACCTAAAGTTTTATTTTACATGATAAATAGCTGTGGGGCTATAAATTTTCATGTCAATACCTGATTAGCCTGATTTTATTTTGGAATATACATTTAAAATTTATTATAATATATGCTTACCACCACTGTTAGTATACTCTTTATGCTTTATTATGATTACTTGTTGTATGTGGAGGATTCTATACTCCTGAGGGCAGGACAGTGTCTGTCTTGTTTGTCAGTGTATCCCTAAAGCTAGAACAWTACCTAGTTCATAATAGGTATTCAATCAGCATTAAATTAATGAGGCATGCAAACAGTAATTTTCAAGTATTTGAAAATAATTAGATAATTCTTTAAAAAATTCTAAGAATGGCCATTCATACTCATTRCACTGCGATCTGATCTTCTCTCCAGATTCCATACTGAGGTCTGGGGCTACAATAGAGATTAAGACTTTGCTAAAGAGGAGCCCAGGGAGAGCCCTGTAACTAGAGAATTACAATGCATTCCAACAAGATACATTTAGAAATATTCACACAAATATTGTGGGAGCCTAGAAGATGAAGCAATTTGGCTTTAACTAGGAGAGCTGGGGAGAGAGAGCTTCACAGAGAATGGGACATCTGAGGCTGACCTTAAAGGATAAGCMTGAGTTTGCTAGACAAGAAAAAGCAATGAAGGAGAGGAAGAAGCAGCAGGGAGGCCTGGAATACTGAAATAGACTGCAGCAGGCTGAAGCATATGGTATGAAGTATGAATAAAAACGACCATTCTCCTCCTTCCTGAGGTCTGAGCTGCAGGGAAAAAAATCACCTAATATTTACTTTTTATACAAGTCCTGCTTTTAGCTATACAATTAGTTATATAATACTATAAATATCTAGTTTATTATATATGTATTTAAAATATATAAACCACTTAGATAATTTATCTAACTCTTAAAGGGAGTACTTTTTAAACTAGAGTTAAAATTGGAAAAAAATGTTCACCTGTCAGATGACAGAAAACCAATTTCTATAAATGTGCCCGAATAATTTTTCTGCACCTCAAGAACAGTTAGTCTTCAGTCTATTCATTACTGTCTTTTTATAGTATTTTTATTTAATAAAACCTATTAAGACTACCATACAAATCTCTTTACTTATGCTTTTATCTTTTAACTGATCAATTTTTATATTGCTGACATCCCTTCTTCACCATTTGCTCATTTAAAAATTCATAGTATGTGAGATCTGTCTCCAGAGAAAATGTCTATAAAATTTGTTACAGCTGGCAAATGTGTATGAGTCAGTGATAGCACATGACTAAATGCTTCACAGAAAATAAAATTTGTTTCTGTAGTAAGCAGAACTGTTTAAATGTTATTTATTTTTATGTTTCAAAGAAAATATATTGTGAAGTGCTGCATTGATTTAATACGCAACAATGTCTGTGTACACGCTGTAGAAGGAAAATTTATGAAACCTTTGCACAACTCCTTTAATTGAATTTTCCAAATCTCTCACCACACACAAATAATCAATATCTTCTGCAGAGAAAACCAGTCAGAATTATTACAGTCTTTCTTTTCAATTTTGTTGTCATCAGCACATACACAGCACCTGGATATTTGTAGTGTCTGCTAGCAAGTTATTTACACCTCTTAAACACATAATTGCTATTAAGTGAGTCCAAATCTATAGTTTAAACATTTTTTACTGATTATATTCAAAAGAAAAATTATCATACTTCTAGTAAAAGTATAAGGAATTAAGTCATGGGAGAAATTATTAAAAAGACTTTGTGAAGTAATAAACCAGTTTGCTTTTCCTGAAATCCTAGACAAATCTCAAGTAAGCATTTTCAGCAGCTGTACTGTACCCCCCCAAATAATGATGAATAGTGTAAAACAAGAGCATTAACATTACTGATAGGAAATGTATGACCCACATACAGCATATATGACAGCTGAATCCTTATACAGAGCTAAGGTCTATAGTGTACATTAATGTATATTTGTGCTACCAAAATTAATACCTCCATTGTTTTTATCTCCAGATAAATCCAGAATCTTAAAGCATAAGGGGAAATTTTTGTTGTTTCTCCTAAAATTCATCATGTCTAAACTTCAAACCTCAGTGCTTTAAAAATGGAAGTATCTGTTTGAAAAAAGATATTGTTTAATGTCAAGATATAATAGAAAAAAAACAAAAGGGTAGAAGTCTTCTGGGAGTAAAGTGATTTGGCTGATATGATGAATACTTTTTCAAGACTGAGTGGGAAAAGGACAACATATTTTTATGTTTAAAAAATACTTCAGTGGGTGGTAAGAATGAAAAGACAATATCAAACTATTTTATAGTCTTAGAACTAGAATTTAAAATTTATCCTGTAGATTAAGAATCTGATAAACTTAAATCCTATAACCAAGATTGAATTTTACAATGCAAGAACACAGTAAATTAACTAAAGAAGACAGGAACATTAGATTTATGCTGTTTTTTTTTTTAAAAAAAACAAAACACCAGAGTTAAAAATTCTGAAATATTTTCTATTACAAACAGCTGAAACAATCAACTTTTTTAAACAATGCAAAGTTCAGATGATTATGTTTCATTTAAAATATGCATACTACAACCTACACAATTATTCTCAAAACAGATAAAATGTGTTTTGGACTGAAGCTAAGTGTTTGGATTTCATATCTTGGCAACTGCTCTACAATTTGCTTACATTCTTTTCAAAAACATTTTGTTTATTGGAAGTACTGGACACAGACAAACAATGATGGCATTTTCTACTATCTTCAGAAAAAAACTAGAATACTAAATACTACAGAATGCCATCTATTGACTTAAGAAATATCTCTATCAAGTTGTTTTAAGTAGAGGTTGATTATTTAAAGCAAATAAATTTCATGCCTTACCATGTGATGATAATGTGACATTCTATCTGTATCAACCCACTGAATGGTCATATGTTTTAAATCTTCAGCATAACAAATTTAMAATAATTATGAAAATTCACATCCAAATGTAAAAGAAAAAGGACCTTTCATTTCATTATTTTCCTAATAGTCATAAAGCCAATATTATTAGGAAAAGTGAAGTCAGGCTTACTTCTAAGTAACTGAAAAAAAAGAAGCTTTTCTTTGTTTAAGAAACTTGTCTTCAGCAGAGATCCTTTCTTATTCATATACTTTAGGAAGGCATTCCCTCATTTAYAGGATCCAGTTCTTCTGAAAACCACAAAAATTTCAGTGTACAGTTTCAAGTTATGGTGTGTGTTTTAAATTTCTCTTGAATAAGTTATATAAAGCCTTAGGAACATGTCTATTTATTTAAAACACTAGAGTATTGTAATTATACTCTTCTTCCTGTAATAATGAAAAAACAAGTAGAAGTAAAAGACCCATTTGAAGAGGGAATGATAACAAAATTGTTGTAATTCTCCTGGTATTGTATGTTTTAATTATTCTAGGAGAATTTTATAAGAATCTGAAGGACTGCCCCACCAAAAAAAAAAAAAAAAAAAAAAAACAAGAGAGAAAAAGAAGAATCTGAGTGACCTGCTTTTGATAGTAGAACATTAATTGGCTTATTCTCATTTTCATGATTATCTAAATGAAGCAAATCCAGTACTTACTAGAAGGGCTGATTTTTATTTTATATAATTTATAATGTTATGAAGATTCTCGATCATTTTAAAATTTGAAGAATTCTTGGTAATTACATAGTAAAATAAACAAAGTAGACATTTTTATAAAAGCTGAAAGACAAATCTCAAAATAAGGAACATATAAAGCAAGCAMGTTTAAGACGTAAAAAAAAAACTTTAAATTTTAAGTTCTCTTAAAATGAATTTATGAACAGGAAGGGGTGAAAGTTGTTAGCTTAGTAAAAAAATTATGTATATGTGTGCCTATGCTTGTGTTTATGTATATATATCATCTTTAACAACAGCAGCAACAACAAAACCCCCCAAACTAAAAATATACATGATAGAAACCAGAAAAAGAGGTGGGAAAAGCACTCAGTAAACCTATATGGCTCAAATTCAAATTACAAAGAAAATAAACTTATCTGTTTTTCAGGCAGCAATAGTTTTTCAACATTAGTCAAAAAGGTAGTGAAGTTTTAAATACCTCAGGAAATAACAGAGCTAATGTAGCTCTTGCTAAGAAATACAAATGGAAGGTGATAAATAATATATATATATACATATAAATAAATACCTATTAATATGTATTATGTAATTTAAAAAATTCAGTTTTTATTGAAGCTCCAAGTAATCAACACTTATTAGAAATTCAAAAACATCGATTAATAATATAATTTCCTTTATGAATGAATAAAACTCATCCCTTTGGGGAAAACCTAATAATGGACAAGTGAGTCTTAATGTCTAAATAACAGAAAACAGTTAAAGCTGATCTTCCATAAATACACCAAGAACTGAGGTATAATGAATAAAAAGATTGCAAAAGTACCTATCCCCTGGAAGGAAAAATGTTTGAATGACAGATGAATAAATTTTGAAAAAATTTCTTTACATTCACTTTTTTTCTAGTATTTTCCCTTCCTTATTTCTCAAAACTGTTGGTAATGCCAACTATATGGAGTCTAATTCTAGTGAGTTCTAGGGAATTACAGATTTTAAAAACCATACTATTGGGATAGAATTTACAGAGAAAGGTTTCTTTCAGTTGGGAAATAACTATAAATTTTACATTATGATTCTCTAAAACTTGTCAAGTTAGGAAAGACTGAAACAGTTATACATTCTAATCGAGAAGAGAGATTCCAAGCATATTCTTAGAAAGCTACCCTAAATATTCTTAAATTTTGGGGATCACAGTATAAATTAGATGCCTTTAATGAAAGGGCTCACAAAGCCTGCTTCACTCACTTTCCACAAGAGCTTTGGAGGGTCTGTCATGGCCTTTGGATCTGACTGGAATCCTGGGCACATTCTAATGCATATTGGTTTGGTTGAACCAGTTTTAGTTATGAAGTTTATATCTAGAAGCTGAGATGACTGGGTGATTTCATTTGTTTCAGGAAGAAACATGAAATAATGAAAAGACCATAGTTTCTGAGGTCATACTGATCCTTAGTTGGAATTCCTGCTCTGTAACATAAGTAGCAGTGTCTTTGGGCAAGTTACTTAATATTTTTGGTGTTTGTTTCTTGTCTATAATGATAAAATGAAAAAAGCTATCTTGCAGTGTTGCTATAAAGAAATACTGATCCTAGTGTTGGAAACTGGTACTCAATCAATGGTAGTAACTGATAATTAAAAATGGCAGACTACAACATGGTGAATCAAGGCCTAACTCCACTTGCAGAGATTACGGAATAGCATCCATGTCAGTAATATTAAAATGATCACTCTTTTTAAAGAGTTGGTCTAAAGGTTTTAATATTTTATAGTCCATGATTATTTCCTTCCTGAGGTACAGATATATATTTCTTATGGGAACTTAAAAACTTGTAATTGAAAGAGAAATGCAAAATAACACTATACTGAGATTTCATCTCACTTCAGTCAGAATGGCAATTATCAAGAATTTAAGTAACAATGTTGGCAAGGATGTGGGAAAAAGGTCCACTCATTCATTGCTGATGGGACTGCAAATCGGTGCAACCACCCTGGAAAGCGGGATTGAGATTCCTCAGAAAACCTGAAATGGAACCACCATTTGACCCAGTTGTCCCACTCCTTGGCATATATCCAAAAGACTTAAAATCAGCATACTATAGTGATGCAGCCACATCAATGTTTATAGCAGCCCAATTCATAATAGCTAAGCTATGGAACCAATCTACGTGCCCTTCAACAGATGAATGGATACAAAAAATGTGGTACTTACACACAATGGAATATTACTCAGCCATAAAGAAGAATGAAATTATGGCATTTGTAGGTAAATGGACAGAACCTGAGACTATCATGCTAAGTAAATAAGCCAATCCTAAACACCAAAGGCTGAATGTTCTCTGATATGTGGATGCTAACTGACAATAAACAGGGGTGGAGTGGGGGTGGGTTTAGAAGTGGGGGTGCTTCACCAGATTACCAAATTAGACAATGGGGAATGAAGGAAAGATGAGGGGACAGGAATAGCAAAGACAGCTGAATGRGTCAGACGTGATTTTCCTATATTCTTATATGAATATATGACCAGTGTCGTATATTGTACATCATGTACAACCACAAAAATGAGAAGTATTCCAGGTACGTATGATGTCAAAATACATTCTACTGTCATGTATAGCTAAAAAGAACAAACAAACAAATAAACAAACAAAAACAAACTTCTAATTGAGTTTCCCATACTGTGAAATGCTCAGAGACATAATAGTTCAAATGTCACAATGTCATTAATGATTTAAAAGTGTCCAGGACACTGCTTAAAAAGTAACTTTTAATGCTTATATGTCTTTCTAATTCACCATTAAAAACACTGGTATGTTAACTCATTAAGTCCTAAGTTGTCAATTCTACAAACATAATAGATATTTAAATATTATTTGAAAGTTACCATAAGTGGTATATTTGTTGCTCATTTAAAGTTTTTATAGGTGCTTCACATCTGGGAYGATGGGATGAAATGGGCTAATTAATGCATTGTTGTCCCAATTGTCTGGGTTCTGAAAAAGAAATTTTAATAAAAGGACAAAATTTAAAACTGTTATTTCAGAATATTTAAAAATTGAATCATCAGGGAAGATGATCTTATTGGACTTGTCTTCTGCTAAATGAAATATAAGGCTTTTCAGATGAGATTCGTAGTCTTAAGAATACACTAAAAGGGACTCACAATGATTGGTTTTATTTGATGAAATGAGATGAAAGCATCTCTTTATGCAATAAAATAAAACCATCTCTTTATGCAATAAAACACAGCCCTTTACCTTTGTGAGGAAGTACTGAATTCTTTTCACATAGCTTTTGTTTTCTTATTTTGGTCACTAAAAGAAAAAAAAATCATGTTAAGAATTAAAATGGATGCCTATAATCACAGCGGCTAAGGAGGCTGAGGCAGAAGGTTTGCAAGTTCAATGCCAGCCTCAGCAATGGTGAGGAGCTAAGCAATTCAGTGAGACCCTCTCTAAACAAAATACAAAATAGGGCTGGGGATGTGGCTTAGTGTTCAAGTGCCTTGAGTTCAATTCCCAGTAACTGGCACCCCCCACCCCTGCAAAAGAATTAAAATGGAATGTGAAGAATTTCTCATTACTTGGAAGAAAAGATTTCATGAGAAAAAAGAATTCAAAACAATACCTATCTAATAGGTATCAAGTACAAAATGCAATRCCTTATTAAATATCTCCTTTTAAAAATGAGCTCCACATAAAAGAAGTCTACTTGCAATTTCCAAGGTAACAATCTTTTCCTTCACATTAAAGAGTAGTCCCCAAAATAAAAGAAAAATGGAGTCTTATATATAAAAGAAATAGTATTTCTTTCACATGGCCATAGTGGTGCATATATAAAGAAGTCTATCAAATTTAAATTTGAGAAAAATTAAGAGATTTATCTTATTATTACTGAAAACTCATAAATTTTTCTTACCTTTAGTGTCAACATATTTCATGTACAACCAGAGATATGAAAAACTGCTGTGTACGTGTAATAAGAATTGTAATGCATTCCGCTGTCATTTATTTTTWAAAAAAAATAAAAAAATTTTTTTTTCTTACCTAGTTCTTTGGTTTTCTCCACTTCTCTTTTTAAGAAACATGATGAACGGGAGATACTAATGAGATTTTCAAGCTCTCTATTGCCCTCTAAAGCCTAAAAGCAAGTTATTTTAAATAAGTTAAAAAAAATTCTCTATAAGTGAATTTTCTATGGTAAGTGACATGGAAAATATAATATAGTTTCCTTCATTAGAAAAATTTAAACTCTGTGTGAGGAAATTTAACATTTTATAGTTGTTCAACTATTGTAAGCCTTATAATATATGAACAAAACTACATTAATTAAGATTAAACCATCTGTAAATTTACTATTAAATGTGAGAAAGCAAGTAATTACTAAAATATTATAGTTAAGTCATTTTAAATAAGCAGAGAAGTTCCCTTGAAAAGCAAATTAAACATATCCTTTGCAAATTCTTACTGGATGGGATTCTGTAGTCTGGGGATTCTTTCCTATTATCTTCTTCAAATGGGGTAGTAGAAGTGTGAAAAATTCTATGCAAAAAAAAAAAAAGGGCAAACCTTTATATTATTTAAATTTTTCATTATTTCCATGATTTCTTCTGATGATGTCTCAACTTTAGATAGCAACAYCATGAATCTATTGAGTGAAAAAAATTATTTAGCAAGAATAAGTATTTAAATGCAGTACATTATTTTCAGAGCTTTAATTCTATTTAAAGAAACTTAAGATTCAGTTTTCTAATTTGTTCTTTATAGCTTTCAAAGTGGTAAAAGAAGTAAATGTTCCTCTTTCATTCTTCATTCTTTTACAAACACAATATACATTATCAACTATCCCTTTGGAGTTTCACTCTCCTCATTGAACCATGGAAGAGAAGACAGGCTTGTTCCTTTTCCCATAATAACTTGTGAACACTAACACATTGGGTTCACTTATTTACCTTGATCTGAGTTTATGAAGCAGTGTTATCCAGTGACTTATAACAAATTAGGTTTTATAGCTTATATCTTTCAGTGTGAAAAATATATGAAGGCAATTTTTAAATTTGAAAATAAAGGAAAAAAGAAAAAAATCCTCCTATAATCCTACCTTCTGAACATATTTCTAGTTTGTATTTTGGAAAAATTCTTCTAGATTAAAAWTTTTTTTTGTAAATTTAAATTGTGCTTTCCTTCTTTTTCTGGGTACCATTCCCTTATCATGGGGGTTGAACTCAGGGGCACTCAACCACTAAGCCACATCCCCAGCCCTATTTTGTATTTTATTTAGAGACAGGGTCTCACTGAGTTGCTTAGCATCTCGCTTTTGCTGAGGTTTGCTTTGAACTTGCAATTCTCCTGCCTCAACCTCCTGAGCCGCTGGAATTATGGCATGCCTGGCATAAATTGTGCTTTGATAGAACATCACACATATTTTTTCTTCCACATAGTCCAAATGTCTGTAATTTTAAAGGCTATATAATAGTCTATCTAGTAAACACACTAAAGATGATTCAACCATTCCCTTATCATGGCAATTTTAGAATCTTTTCCAATTTTAAAATCCCAGAGCTGTATATGATAGTCTATATCAACATAGTATAATAGAAATACAATGCAAGCCATATATGTAATTTAGAATTTTAGTAGCCACATTAAAAGGAATTAAAATAGGTGAATTTAATTTTAGTATTTTCTGTAATTCCTACTTCAACATGTGTTCAATATAAAAAATAGACATTTTGTATTTTTTGTCTATTTTATATTCATAGTACATCTCATTTGAGACTTGCCATATTTAAAGAACTCATTAGCCATTTGGCTAGTGACTCCTGTTTCACAGAGCACAAATCGTACTACTGCTTTTATGAGAAACCGAGCACTTTATTTAAATACTTATCAAGATTACATAAGTGTTTTCCATTAAAATTTTTGTTATTCAAGACAAACAGTATAGGTTAAAATTGTCATACACATTGGGTACGTTCATAATCTATATATTCAAGTAAGGAATAGAGATAAGACAATATTGCAGAAGCAGAAGATTATGAGAGGGTAGTAGAATTATGTGTGATTTTTTTACCTTTAAAAAATATGTGGAAAAAATCTATGGATTTCAATTAAAAATAATTAGTCTGAGGATCCAATTGCTAAATACTGGAAGCTTAGTTTGAGAGAAGGATCACAATGGGATTCCTGCCTTTTCTAAGGAGCAAGTGGAATTATATGACTCCCACTCAGACTGGATACCTCCAGGTTCTCCTATAGGATGTCAAAACCTACTACGTGCCCTGGAGTGCAAAGCAGAAGTAAGTAAGCTACTTTGCTACAGGAAGGAATCCTTGTATCTCATATTCCTTTCCTGGGAAAACTGGAGCGGCAAAACTCTTCCACACAGTCCTTCCACATAGACCATATCTTAACAGGTGGTACTCCTTGTTGACCTTTAGGGAACTGTGTAGGAAGAGTTGGATCCTGYTGGACTTGTGCAATGTAGCATCCCCAAAAGGATCTCCTAACACTATACCAAATTAAGACAATCACTGAGGAGCCAGGCTAAGCAAACTGTTTTGACAACCTTGAACTGCATGGACTGAGTTTCAATGATCTAGAGGAGTACTTTTCAAGACATACTTGACATGTCTAAACTGCTTTTTCAGGGACAAGTTTCTCCACTGCAGGATCAAGTGGCCTAGTAGATCTCTTTATTTTAATTTCCTTTCCTCTCCTCTTATTCCCTTTGCTTCTTCCTAGAGGAAGTCAACTCTTTCTACATCAATGGCAACCAAATTCCTGGAATGGTTTTATAACTGTCATTCATCTGTTAAATCTGAGAAATGCAGTATGTATGTTCTTTTCCCCGTCTTCTAAGTAGAAAAGCCTTCATAAACTTTGGAGATAAACTGCTTGCTGAGCAAATTTGGGGGGGAAGTAAGGTTGACTACTTCTTCACCCTAGACAAAATGGTGTTCTTATAATCATAGTTATTACCACTTGTGATAACCAGATAGTCACTGCTTACTGATAATTTTTTTTTTATATTTTCAAAGCATGATTCAATTCTAATTCACTGTACTGTGACAGCATTACTGTTTGCTTAAGAGTCACTCTTCAGTATCATCTCAATGATCTTCAAACATTTATTTATTTTTGAAAACTAACAATCTTTTACTTTTTTCCAACTGCCTACAGAACCTATTTATTGTAGTATAACATTTCAAAGTTACTGTTGCTCTCCCTTTCAAGTTGGAGAATAATAGTATCATCAGGGGGTGTCATTCTTGCAGAACACTATTCCATTCTTAAATAGGTTTGCCTCTGGCTGAACTGGATCAAATTATTCATCTTAAAATGATACTTTAAACTGTTCAGATATTGATAGGATTGCATCGTCCAGATAGTTAGTGACTGCTGCCAGCTTTATGACACCTTATATTTTAATAAACAATTATAACATGACTTGAGAAAACAGAACTACTGGTCCTCCTTGAATTAACCTCTTCTTTGTTCATCAATAAAGATCCCAAAGTATTCATTTTTAGCATTTCATAATTCAAGAGTCTGGATTGGTCCTTATGATACTTTAAAAAGAAATTATGGTCACATATGGTGGCACATGCATGTAATCCCAATATTACATGCCTATAATCCTCCTGGGGAGGCTGAGGCAAGAGAATTGCATGTTCAAAGCCAGCCTCAGCAACTTAGCGAGGCCGTAATTCAATGAGACCCTGTTGCTAAATAARATATAAAAAGGGGCCAGGGATGTGGCTCAGTGTAAAAGTGCTCCTAGGGTTCAATCCCTGGCTAAGAAAAGAAAAAGAAAAAAGAAAAAAAAAGAAAGAAAAGAAACTTATGATCCAATTGGTTTGGTACACTAAAAAGTTGTCTTAAAACTTGACATATTTGTCAGACTGCCTTAGCTCAGGGTAGATTCTTATGGTATGTCAACTGTGAATATCTTCTTTTCTCCTGAGAAAGCCATATGTCAAAAATTAAAATCCAGAATTCTGTCATTTTCTTCAGAGAAAGTTCTTATTATTAAGTGCACTGAAATTAGATTCTTCAGCCAAATAAAAGCCAGAGAGGCACTGGATGTAACCATTATTTATGCTTTTAGTTCTTTATTAAATTTCTGAAGAAATTCTCAAGTCATGTGTAACTTGACTTTTTCTTTCTTTTTTGGTGATACTGTGTATGGAACTCAGGCCTTCATTCATACTAGGCAAGCACTCTACTTTTGAGCCCTATCCCTTTTAAAATTTCTGGAAGACAGGATCTCACTAAGTTGCCCAGGGGTAGCCTTTAACTTCCGATCCTTCCTCCTCAGCTTCCCAAGAAGTTGGGTTACAAGCATAAGCCACAATGCCAGCCTATAACTTGATTTTTAAAACTACCATTCTATTTCAGTTCTGTTTTCCCTATCTTGACCATTTTCAATTATTTTACATTCTAAGCTTTAAATTGTTTCATCATTGTGTTAGCTTTGTATCACCATGACCAAACACCTGACAAGAACAACTTAAAGGAGGAAAAGTTTGTTTTGGCTCACAGCTTCAAAATATTCTGTTTCTGGTCAGCCAGCTCAACTAGTCTCGGCTTGAGGAGAGGCAGAACATCATGGTGGAAAGGTGTGGTAGAAGAAAGCAATTCAGCTCAGGGCAGTCAGGGAAAGCAGAGAGAGGAAGGGGTGGCAGACAAACCCTTTCAGGGCATGACCCCAGTGACCTACTTCCTCCAACTAGGTCCCACCCCCCCAGTAGTCCACTGAGCTATCAATGGATTAATCAGTGTGAAAGCTCTCATGATCCATCCAATCATTGCTCTCCTCTGAACCTTGAGGTATTGGAGACTATATTGGTAAAAACCACATGAGCTTTTAGGGACATTCCAGGTCCAAAATAAAACAGTTAATCTCCTTTTTAAAATTCCTAAGATGTATTTGGAGCTAACATTTTTTTTTTTTTTTTAGTGCTTTCTGAGTTCAAGGCACTCACTTAAAAAAACTCTGTAACCATTAAGCAGTAACTCCCTTTGCCCATCCCAACCAGCCTCTCTTAATTTATAGTATACTTCCTGTCTCTGAATTTGTCTAGTCTAAATATTACATATAATTGGAAACTTACAAAATTTGTCCTTATGTCTCTGCACATTTGCAAAATTCACCCATGTTGTAGCATGTTTCAGGAGTTCAATCCTTTTAATGATGAACAATATTTCATTGCATGTACATATCATATTTTGTCTATCCATTCATCCAGTGATAAACATTTGGATTGTTTTTACCTATTGGGTACTGTGAAAAATGCCTAAATGAACAAATATCTGTCTGAATCATAGTTTTCTGTTTTGGTGGATGAGGCATATACCAAAGAATTAAAACTGATTTTGGTACTGGGGATTGAATCCAGGGATGCTTAACCACTGAGCTACATCTGCAGCCTTTTTATTTTTACTTTTTAAATTTTGAGACAGAGTCTCAGTAAGTTGCTTACGGCATAAGTTGTTGGGGCTGGCATTGACCTTGTGCTCCTCCTGCCTCAGCTTCCTGAACCACTGGGATAATAGGCATGTGCCACCACATCCAACCTATTTAATTTTTTGAGGATCTGTGAGACTATTTTCTAATTTCTCCACACCCTTGCCACATTTATTATT